TTGTATATCATCAGCCAGACATAGTAAGTATAATAAAAAAGGGAAGGCTGAGGTGGCTCGGACATGTGGAGCGTATGAAGCAGAATCGTCTTCCAAGGAAGCTACTTTTTGAAAAGCCGGGTACCCAAAAGCGTGGACGTACCAGAATGAGATGGCTTTACGATGTTGAGGCAGACCTGCGCTAACTTGGAGTTAGAGGATGGAGAGCGGTTGCTGCCGATAGACCAGCCTGCCCTGCAACTTTTGATGAGTCCCATGTCCTTCGAGGGCAGTAGCGCCGAATATTATTATTATAAATTTTCAAGACGATTAAACGTCTACCAAATAAGTTTTTAATAATTTGTACGGAGTCGATATTACTCCGACGAACGGCGGTCCCAGTCAAACAAACTATATATAGCATTTCCAAGTCAATTTCAACCTTTTCCATTTCAAATTCAACCTTTTCCAAGTCAAATTCAACCTTTTCCATTTCAAATTCAACTTTCGAATTTTCGTCAATTTTCGATTTTTTTTCGAAATGAAGGCCACTTACTATATTACCGAAGACATAGCTTTTGAAAAATACAAAAAACATTTTGATAACGCGGTTGCATATCCATTTATTTTGACATTTTAGATTTTTTCAGTGTGATATTTCTATGTCATTTCCAAGTCAAATTCAACCTTTTCCAAGTCAAATTCAACCTTTTCCAGATCAAATTAAACTTTTTCCAAGTAAATTCAACCATTTCCATTTCAAATTAAACCTTTTCCAATTCAAATTCAACCGTTTCATTTCAAATTAATGTTTTAATTTTTTGTAAATCTTATATTTTTTTTTTAAAATAATGGCCATCCCCTCCCCCCCTCCAATATGAAAGTCTATTATTATGCTCTCCTAAGTAGAATTTTCACTTACGGATATCGATTTATTGTACCTATTCGGATTTATTAGGGTCTAGTATTATGCTGTCCTGTACCTAGTTTTGAAAATAACCCCCATTGTGAGATTAAGTGAGTGCGTTTCGAATCATTTAAGTTTTTTTGATTTATTCGATATAAAGGTGTATTTTTATGTTTCCTGATCAGTAAATTTTGAAAATGACATCCATTTTATGTTTACGCCACTGTGTTTTGACTTATTTAAGTTTTTAGAATTTATCCAATATAAAGGTCTACTTTTATGTTTCTGGAGACGTAGATTTTGAAAACGACCTCCATTTTAAGTTTAGGCCACCGCGTTTCGACTTATTTGAGTTTTTCGGATATTTTTCATATGAGGGTGTATTTTTATGTTTCCGGAGCTGTAGATTTTGAAAACGACCTCCATTTTAATATTAGGCCACCGCGTTTCGACTTATTTGAGTTTTTCGGATATTTTTCATATGAAGGTGTATTTTTATGTTTCCGGAGCTGTAGATTTTGAAAACGACCTACATTTTAAGATTAGGCCACCGCGTTTCGACTTATTTGAGTTTTTCGGATATTTTTCATATGAGGGTGTATTCTTATGTTTCCGGAGCCGTAGATTTTGAAAACGACCTCCATTTTAAGATTAGGCCACCGCGTGTCGATTTCTTTGAGTTTTTCGAATTTTTTTCATATGAGGATGTATTCTTATGTTTCTGGAGCCGAAGATTTTGAAAATGACCTCCATTTTAAGATTACGCCACTGCGTTTCGGCTTATTCAAGTTTTTCTTATTTATCCAATTTAAAGGTCTACTTTTATGATGCCGGAGCCTTAGTTTTTAAAACGATTTACATTTTAAGATTAGGCCACTGTATTTCGGTTTTTGATTTTTCCTTAAAGTTAAGTTAAGTGTTTTTGATTTTTCCTTCGAATAAAAAACAAAATATGAAGGATTAATTTATTTTTCAATAAATAAATAAAAATATCTAATCAAAATAAATAAAATATGTATTGTCTCATTTTTAATTTAATTTTAGTTATCTTTTTTAATGTTGTGGTCTCCTGTCACAAAATTATAAGATTTCGAACAATTAGCTGAAAAATCTGAATACGGAAGGTTAAATTTATTACCAGCTGCTTTTTGGCTTTTTAGTTTGTATTCTGTGGTTAATTTAACTTTAGCTTCATAATATTTATTTATTTATTCATACTTGAAAACATATTGATGAAACTTTGTATTGAAAAAATCCAAAATGAAGCCTAATTATTCGAGATGCAGCGGCTTAATCATAAAATGGAGCTTAAATATTAGATAAATTTAAATATTAAAGATTAGAAAAATTTCAATACGTCTCGGATAACATATAAGTAGATCCTTATACCGAAAAAGTAAAAAAAAAAACTTTTATAATCCAAAACACAGTGGCATAAACTTGAAATTGGGTCATTTACAAAAACATAAAATTAGATCTTTATACTTGTTAAATTCTAAAAACTTAAATAAGTTTAAACGCAGTGGCGTAATCCTAAAATAGAGGTCATTTTCAGAATCTACGGTTCCGAAAACATAAAAGTAGACCTTTAAATTGGATAAATTCGAAAAACTTAAATAAGTCAAAACGCAGCAGCGTAATCATAAAATGGAGGTCATTTTCAAAATCTACAGCTCCGGAAACATAAAAATACACCCTTACATCGAATAAATAAAAAAAACTTAAATAAGTCGAAACGCAGTGGCATAATCTTAAAATGGAGGTCATTTTCAAAATCTACAGCTCCGGAAACATAAAAATACACCCTCATATGATAAATATCCGAAAAACTCAAATAAGTCGAAACGCGGTGGCCTAATCTTAAAATGGAGGTCATTTTCAAAATCTACAGCTCCGGAAACATAAAAATACACCCTCATATGAAAAATATCCGAAAAACTCAAATAAGTCGAAACGCGGTGGCCTAATCTTAAAATGGAGGTCGTTTTCAAAATCTACAGCTCCGGAAACATAAAAATACACCCTCATATGAAAAATATCCGAAAAACTCAAATAAGTCGAAACGCGGTGGCCTAATCTTAAAATGGAGGTCGTTTTCAAAATCTACAGCTCCGGAAACATAAAAATACACCCTCATATGAAAAATATCCGAAAAACTCAAATAAGTCGAAACGCGGTGGCCTTATCTTAAAATGGAAGTCGTTTTTAAAATCTACAGCTCCGGAAACATAAAAGTAGACCTTTATATTGGATAAATTCTTAAAATTTAAATAAATCAAAACACAGACATAAAATGGATGTCATTTTCAAAATTTACTGATCGGAAAACATAAAAATACACCCTTATATCGAATAATTCAAAAAAACTTAAATAATTCGAAACTCAGTCACGTAATCTTAAAAAGGAGGTTATTTTCAAAAACTACTCATACGATAACAGACCCACACATCGAAACAGTAAAGATAATTAAATAAATAAAAAAAGGTTGAATTTGAAATGGAAAAGGTTTAATTTGAAATGGAAAAGGTTGAATTTGACTTGGAAAAAGTTTAATTTGATTTGGAAAAGGTTGAATTTGACTTGGAAAAGGTTGAAATTGACTTGGAAATGCTATATAATAGTTTTTATGTGAACTTTTTTTTAAATCCATATCGCTTTGGCATTTGACAGTTCCTCTTTTTCTAACCTACGATTCTTGAGTGGAGCTTCATCGGCACATTCAATTGGGAAATGACTCGATGTCTGTTTCGTTTTTTGTTATCTCCTTGCTTGTAAATGGACACAACTATCTTCAATTTGAGCCAGGTTATAGAGAATCCACCGAGAAAGGGAAATCGCTCTCTATCTGCTTAATGCCTCACACTTTGGTTTGTTCCAATATCTAATTGCCTTAGAGCTAATCGAAGGGTCGCATCTATGTTCTCCTCTCTGATTCATTGAAAGATCTTTTCCAGATTCCCTAAGCAGATAGAGAGCTATTTATTTTCCTGCACTTGACAGCCTATGTCCTGCAGTATATTAGCAATTATTTTCTGCTATCTTTTCAATTCCTTTCTCGAATCCTTCCTTGCTGATAACTTCGCCGTCATCAGAATAAACCTTATCGTCCCCTTAATCTCATCCGAACTGATCCAGCTCCCTTCCAGCAGCTCTTTGAAATTTTCTGTTCACTGTCTAATGTATATTTCTTCCTCCAGATAATGTTTCCGTCATTATCATGTTATATTTGCAAAGATTTTGGAGGCTTCAGTCCGAAAGCTAAACTTGAGCATTCGCCCAAATAAGCATTCAGGTCAGGTTGAGGGGGGCGCACACATACACCCTGATGAATAATGAGCCTTATGCTCTTCCCCACCGAACAGAGAACCCATATTAACACACTATTTTAAATTTGTTCCGCCTATACTCGCGTTCCTATGCAATCTAGTTGAGTTTTCCTATTTACTGATATGATTTTAGTTTTCATATTTTACTCATTAACTAATCTGCAAATTGTTGTTGATATTTTTCTTTATTATTTTACTTCGAAATATTTGGGAGGCGAAACGATATTCTCGTCCCTTCACAATTTTTATTGGTGGGATGATCACCCTCCTCGTCCCCACAAAGCCTGTGGCCATGCGTCTGCTGCTCTTCCACACATGGGTTGCCCTGCACGGGCGGATCTACTGGAGGGGGGAGGCTTTGAGGCCTCTTAAAATTTGTAACTTCCAAAAATATGGTCTCCAAACATACCACCCAGTACAATTTTGCCCCCCCTCTAAAAAAAATTTTTTGATGGTGCAACTTGCGTCATACAACCCCCATTTGGAAACCCCTGGTGTGTACTTTTAATTAAATAAGGCAGAAAGCCTGGCAGTTGAGGGTGATTTTGGCCTTGTCACCTCTCTGCACAATTGTTGGTCTTGAAACAGTACTTTCTTACCAAGTACTGAATATCCTTGCTAATTGCACAATGTTCAGATTTTAATGATAGGCAATTCATTTAAGTTTATTATCATTTTTAATTACTATGAATTGCTTAATATCTGAATCTATAATTCGATTAATTTTTAATTTGATGTTTAGGAATACTAAAAAATATCCGTCAACACTGTCTCAACGGTTATGGCCGTTTATATTTAGATGTTTTTTGAATGTTGTACCCGCCAAATGTGTTGTGGTTCCTTTTAAGTTACCTGTCTTAAGTTGTAATTTTACAGAGAATTATTTATCTGTAGGAAATTTTATTCTCTCACATTATGAGTGACAAAGAAGATGATTTAGGAGATAAATCTCGACGATCACGTAAGAGAGGTTTTGGTGGGGTATCAGAAAATAATAAAACTCGACTGCAAGATAAAACATTGAATTTGTCTGAAGACGAATCATCAGATGAAGAGATACAGGTCAATATAAAACCTTCAATAATATATGATGAACCGTCATTGAAAATACCATGTAGTAACCCTACAGTTTCTGATGTTGAAACCTCTTATGATTTTAGTAAGATAATAAAGTCACAAGTAGAACTAGTTGAAGCGAGAGATAGGTTCAACACTTCTGTTGCTAGACTAGAAAGTGAGCTCGATATAACTCCTGATGAAAAATTGCCTACAATCGCTGATAAATGTTCTGTAGAAGAGCTATTACGACTAGGGGAGAGAGACAAAGCTCATGTCAATAGTGTTAAACCTTGCAGCAGCAGTAGCAGCAGTGTTAGTCAAGATTTTGGATTACAATCTGTTGAGATTACACTTCCTGGCGATTTTCAAGATAAAGAAACACGGCGTCAAAGAAATAAAGAATTAGCTTTGACAAAACACCTAAATCAAGTGAGAAATGAACGTCAAAAAGTCATGCACAAAGTTCATTTACTTTGTTTAATTGCTCATGGTGATTTCATTAGTAGTGTTATCAACAGTGATTTCCTATATGGTTGTGCACTCTCATTTTTACCAAAAGAATATACTCCTCCACCCCTAGTCACAGTGTCATATATTTTGAAATTATTGAAGTGGTTTGGCAGCCAATTTCCCCATAAGAAACATAAGAAGACTGGAGCATTTAGTGTTGAAAGATTGGAAGAGATTTTTTCCACGTTTAAGCCTTGCTCTGTTAGGGATTCTGTGATATTGTTCGTGTCATTATTAAGAGGTTTGAGTTTAACAGCAAGAATCGTTATTAACTTAAATCCTGTTCCTCTTAAAATAAAGAAAGTTGGCTGGACTCCATTGGCTTCATCTTTTCAACCATCAATGCCCATCCAGTCTAATTTGACAAGTCCTAAAAAAAGTAAAAGTAAGCCAAGCAAGGAAGTTGGTGAGAGCTCTTCGATTGCTTCTCCCTTATTTGATCAACCTGGTCCTTCACACAAGACATTAGACTCAAAATGTAATGTTAAATCTTCCGAACAAACTACTTCACCTAAAAAAAGTTCTAGTAAACGTCCTGTAAAGAAAATCAGTTCTCCGATTAGTAAAAAACCTGCTGATAAAAGTGAAGTAAACACATCTAAAGCTGGTCCATCAAATAAAAGTCATCAAGAAAGGTCAATTCTAGAGTCCTCTTCAAAACCTGGGCCTTCCAAAAGCAGTGCAGATATATCCCCTACAATACCTAAGGTCAAGCCTTCCGATAAACGCAAAACAAAGAAATCTATTGTGATTAATGATGCATTATCTTGTGCTCGAGTAGGGGCTTACACAAGATCAGAGAAAGTTGACAGATGTTTAATCATGGATTCATCTTCTTCTAGTGAAGATGAGGCAGTTGAAGAAACTGAGACCACTGTAAAGTGTGGTATCGATTATTGGGCTGAAGTTTATATAGAAAATGAGGAGCGGTGGCTTCCAGTTGATTTGTTCTCCCTAAAAGTTGACTGTGTTCGTGAAATCGCTGTAAGTAAATGTTTTAAAAATTTAGTAATACAAAGCTAGTTGATGTAGAAAATAATGCTTTAAAAATATTAATCATGATTAAAAAAATAGAGAAAATAATTTTTTTAATCTTTGGGTACTACTTCACTAGTGTTGTTCCACTATAATGAGTGGGCAAAAAAATATCACTATACATTATTACTATCACTTACCTATATATCTAATACATAGTAAAGGAAAGTTTTCGAGTCTGAGTTATCAACAGAACTAAATGTTTTGAGTTCCCCTTGAGTAAATAACCAAGTCCCACAAAATGATCTGTTTGTGTATGAACATTCTATCTCAAAAAGTAAAAGTCGTACTCAACTAAAATTGGGTATTTAAGGTTTGTAGATCCCTGGGATGTTATAGCTCCTTTTTTTTTGTCAAAATTACCTAACCAGAAGTGTCACTTTATATCATAGATTTTACATATTTTTATAATTTTCTTAAAAACAGCTTTAATGATTTTTGCTAAATTCATCTTATCAGTGTAAAATCAAGCGGTTTATAATATAATGTAGGTCTCATTCTTATTGATGTTCATTAACAGTGTTTAAATGCCCAATTTCTTCCTCTAAATTACCTTTAATTTTTCTAATTTCAAATATTTAACCATTTCACACTGGGAACTGATATAAAAGATTGTCAAATATAATGAATGAAGAAAATTTACAGGAAACTAAAGGAGAAATAAGGGTTGGAAGCTACATGGAAACATTTGAGAGTGCCTTACCTTTGCTAATTACAGAAACCTGATATCCCTCTGTACAGAGCTTGCATAATGTTAATTTAACTTTTGTGTATCACTTATCCATAATTTTTTAAAAAGGTTTTTACACAAAATGTAGAGGATCTTCTAATAATATATGATATTTACTAACGTTATTTTTTTGACAAGTTTTGTGATAAATGTTTCTCATAAAACTCAGAATTTCTTCACAATCATTAGTATTGTTTGATACTGTCATAAAATAAAATGAAAAGCAATGCAAATGTATAAACTTAACAGATTCAATGGGTGGGAAAAACATGGTAATTCATAGTTTTAAATGAAGTGATACCATCGTTTTTACTTTGATTTCCCTATATATGAAAATATCTATCTAATTTAAGGTTGGTGAGTGAAAGGTTATATGATGCGGGTACCGCACCAGATTTTTTATGTATTAATTTTGTTTTTCATCTACAAATCAATTCATTTAATTGTACAATTAATAAAAATCTAAGCTGTCTTTTAATGAACATTGTTTTATACATTAATTATGTTCGTATCTTGTTACATCTATCTAACTAATATCTTATTAATAACAACTTCTGTCCAGCTACCTTGATACCTAGCCTCCTTAATCAGTAATAATTAAATCAAGTCTATAGAAATGGTATAGTTATTGATGGTACAGAAATAGCAACATATATATATATATATATATATATATATATATATATATATATATATATATGAAATATATAGTAAAAGACAGTATTGCGATCATGAAAATTTTCAAATCTGAGTTTTCAACTGAAATACATGTTATGATGTCTCCTGAGTCCAAATAACCAAGTCCCACAAAATGGTGTGTGTTTGTGTATGTATGCGAACAGTCTAGCTCAAAATCGAAAATAAATATGGAAGTGAAATTGCATATTCAAGGCTACAGCAACTTTTTCATCAAAATTGGCTAACCAGAAGTGGCACTTTATATCTGCGGTGAAACTCATTTTTACAATTATCTCAAAAATGGCTCTAACGATTTTGATTAAACACGGTGTGTCATTGTATAATTAAGTGGTCTTTAATATCGTTTATGTTGTATCCCCATTGATGTCGCTTTATAGGACTTAAGTGCCCAATGTCTTCCTCTTAAGTACCTTTAATATGGTTTATTTTAAAAAAATAACTCTTTCATTGACTATAACTATAAAAAATGACTAAATATGAAGTTTGAAAGAATATGATAATTGAATTAAGGAGAAATAAAGAAAAATGCTAATCCTCGTTGAGAATGAATCTTCGGAAATATTAGTCGGAAGATATACGTATAATATATCGTTGGCAAGCAAAGAATATTAGAAAAAATAATATCTAATAAATAAAGTTGTAGAAGGTAACAGAGAGTGACAAATAAAATATAAATAATTATTTCTGAAAACTAACATTATTTAATGTAAATCACATGTTTTCAAGGAAATTAAATGAAATTTTCTTACAAAATGTAAACTTTAAAATTTTTTTTAATTTTTAAAAAGTATTAAAATCCACCAAATCAAGACAATGCCATTGTTTAAAATACTATTTCTTTGTCCTTGTGTGAAAGAAGAAGTGTAAATATAAAAATATTTCATGGATGTATAAAGCATATGTTTATAGTCTTTAATACATTTACTGTAGTTTAGTAACAGATCTGATTAAATTATTAGGTATCTATCATCTGTTTATTGCGAAAAATCACCATGTAACCTTTCATTGCCCTTTGTAAATTATCCTGTTACAATTAGTGTGATAACTTTTGAGAAAATGTGATAACTATCTATGGCAGGTAATGAAAATCTTTTCTTCATTTTAGTAAACTTTATAATGAAAAAGAAGTTAAATAACTAATAGTCGTACAATCCATAATCATTTATAGCTTAAATATACAAATGTACTTTCAAATCTCTCTAGGCATATATGAGCTTTTCTGTTGACAGAATGACAATCTCCAATCTCAACATTTTTTTATTATTAATTTTAGTGATATTTCTAGTGGGAAAATTTATACCTTTATTCACAGTTCTATATTTCAACATTGCAATCATCTACTTTGGAATCAACTTACTCACTGTCTTTACAGATATAAATTTTCCAACTAGAAATATCACTAAAATGACATTACTCAAAAATGTTGAAATTGGATTTAGTCATTCTTTCAACTGAAAGGCACATAGCTGAGAGACTGGAGTTATGTGGTTTACAAAAACATATGGAGTAACAAGATTTTTATTGCCTGTTGTCGATATGATAAATAGGATTTTAGTTATCTTAATGGTCTTAATGATCTGTTAGCTATAAGCTTTAAGCTTTAGCACCGTTTAAAATGCACTGCAAACATTTTATAATAGCCCATCATTGATAGAAAATAATTTCTATTTAAAGTAGAGCAGTAAGTAAAAGTTATGTATTGCGCGTATCAGATTTCTATGTATTATTGTTCCTACAGTAGTTTTATAAAGGAAGAGAGATATCTAAAAAACAGAAGGCAGTTACTAAACAACAAAACTATTTTTAAGATAAAATCAAGAAATCCTACTTGCTACAGAAAAAGAAATACATACCTATGTTTTACAATAGTTTCATAAAATATCAAAAAATGCTGGACCATGTTTATCAGACTAATTCTCTGTTTGCTTTCCTCAATCCTCTGTTGATTTTGTAACACTTTTTCAAAAATTCAACATAATAATAAACAAAAAAATAAATTATCCACCTCACATAGCTTTATATTAGAAAATATAAGCCGTTCTTTCAGGCAATTTGCCACGTCACGTTTGTATCTAAACAGACTGGTCTAAAATAAACAATGCATGAGGCAGTGCAGTATACATACCAAAATTTAAACATCACCAAGTTTAAATTACCATCAGGGTGTTCATCTTTCTTATTAGAATTATACACTATTTCAGAAGCCCTAAAATACTTAAAACATAATTGGACAAAAGTAAATTCATAATATTAACATAAACAGTAATATTTATTTCTCTTATTCCAATTCCTCTTCACAATCCAATCAGATGTTGGTTAATTATTTATTTTGTAACAAGGTTTTATTTATTTATTTGTTTCTTTTCATACACCATTATTTTATTATATTTTATGAATTGGAAAAGATTCCATATCACTCTTGAAATAACACTGTAATGAAGAAAAAAAGAAGAAATTATTTGTTTTTATCAATTTTTTATTCTATATACAAGATTTTATGCTTTTGAGGTGTATTTTTTTTTTTTAGATTCCTCAATTGTATATATTTTTCCCTCTCAATCTACGTTTTTGTATATAGTTTACAATACCATTGCAAATATTCATTCAAAGCTTGTATAAATCATTTATTTTATTTTACTTATTTTTTTTTCTTTTTGTTGCTACAATGATTTTCTCATAAAATTAATTTAATGTCACTTTCCAAATTTACTCACCTACTTATTGTTATTTTATTTCTCTTATGCTGTGATTGTGCAACATTGTGATCCCATTGCTCATCTGCTTTCATAAATATATCTTCAAGCTATTTATATGTTTTTTATGTTTTAACAGAAAAAGTCAATTCTTTTTCTTACTTACTTCTGATATTTTTTCTTTTCTGTAGGTTTTACTTTTTTTTTCTATATATATAATTTTTTTTTTGTTTTTTTCATTACAACTAAGTATTCTTGAGAAGATTTATTTTATTTTTATTTGTTTACATTATTGTGTAAATTATTGTATATATCGTTAGAATCTTTGTTAAGTTAGTTTTTGGCCAGATATGTATTTTTACTTTCACTTACGTATATATGTAATATATAGTAAGGGTAAGTATTGCGATTGTGAATGTTTTCGAATCGACGGAAATACATGTTTTGAGGTCCCCTGAGTCCAAATAACCAAGTGTCCCAAAATGGTCTGTGTGTGTGTTAACAGTCTAGCTCATAAACGAAAAGTGGTACGAAACTGATATTAAGTATTTAAGGTTTGTATATGGGCTGGATGTGACAGCAACTTTTTTGTTAAAATCGGCTAATCGGAAGTGCCACTTTATATGAATGCTGAAACACATTTTTACAATTTTCTTAAAAACGGCTATAACGATTTTGATTACACTCGGTGTATCATTGTATAATTATGTGGTCTTTAATATCATTTAGGTCTTATCCCCGTTGATGTCACCTTACAGGGCTTAAATGTCCAATGTTCATATATGTCTTCCTCTAAAGTACCTTTAATGTGGTTTATTTTAAAAAGT